TCCCGTATGAGTATATCACCGCGTTCAATGTACTCAACCAGACTACTATTCCGCCTAAGTCAGCTTTTGACAGCAAGCTCCGTGGAACAAGCATCAGCGATGATGAATACGAGCGAGTGAAGTTCGTGTGGAAGTACTATGAGATGAAATCCATCAAGGACCTACTGGTCTGGTACAACAATCTCGATGTAGTCCCATTCATCAAGGCTATTAAAGCCCAGCGCGAGCTATTCATGCGTTTCGATCTGGACATGTTCGCTGATGGTGTGTCCTTACCAGGACTTAGTGAAAAAGTTATGTATCAGACCTGCTTTAACAGTCTCCGATATCCGGATAAGACAGCTGCTAACGCATTCCAATTTTCACCCCAGCGTATGGGTGGCTACAAGAGTCAGGATGCTAAGGCAAAGCGGGAATTTGGTATGACACTTGCTCACTTGAATACATTGCTGCAAAAGCAAAAGTATCTGTGTGGTTTATGCTACTGCCCGCTGACCGTCGATAATGCTTCAGCAGACCGTATCAACAACAAGCTTGGACACATCGATGGCAACGTATTGGTTAGCTGTATCAAGTGCAACACCGCCCGTAAGGACATGTCGCTCAAGGGATTCCGCTACAAGAAGTTGCTTGAGTTCAACTCGGACAGATTGGTGTATAGCATTGATAAGGAGGAAAAGTGCATCTACGCTAAGATGAAGGCCAACATTGCTGGAGGTCCATCTATTATCTTTAATCGCTACGCTAAGCGCAACGAGACGAAGATTCGTGGAGGTAAGCTCTGTAAGAAAATTATCGGATACGATGCCAACGCTCTATACCTATGGGCACTTGGTAATGAGATGCCATGCGGACGATTGACTACGATCGAGGCTTATGACGGCATTGTCGAGGACATCGTTTCTAATAAAATTTTCGGCTTCCTCGAGTGTGATATTCGCACACCAGAGCACTTAAAAGACTACTTCTCAGAGATGACCCCAATCTTCAAGAACACGCTAATCGATTGTGCTGATGAGAGTGTCATTGGTCATCACATGTACAAGTACAACGAGGCACGTAAGCAAAGCCGAGCAAAACCAGCTCGTAAGCTGATAGGTAGCTACTTTGGTGAAAAGATTCTCATATACGCACCTTTGCTGAAGTGGTATCTCTCTCATGGTTTGGAGATCACCACGACTTACAGCTTCATAAAAGCGAGCTCCCATAAGGCTTTTGCTCCATTTATGGAGGCTGTATCAAACGCCCGGCGAGAGGGTGATGTTGATAAGTCTAAGGCTATGATTGCCGAGATGATGAAACTGGTAGGCAACAGTGCTTTTGGTCGATCTGGAATGGACATGAGCAAGCATAAAGAGGTCAAGTATGAGTCGAGCGACAAAGCTATTAAGAACAAGATCGAACACTTTACTTTCCATGGGTTGGAAGAGCTTAATGATGCGTGTGAAATCACCATGAAGAAACGCCGCCTTAATAACAAGAACCCAATCCATTTATCGATTGCTATCTATCAGCTTGCTAAGCTACGTATGCTACAGTTCTACTACGACTGCATAGATTTCTACTTCAACCGCTCTGACTTCCAGTATCAGGAGATGGACACTGATTCGGCTTATATCGCTTTCAGCTGTGATAATCCATTTCAAGACTGTATCAAGCCTGACCTACGAACCCACTTCAAGGAGCATAAATACGATTGGTTCCCACGCGACTACAACACTGAGGTAGCTAAGTTTGATCGCCGTACGCCTGGTTTGTTCAAAGATGAATGGTCAGGTGATGCTATGGTCTCACTATCGAATAAGAACTATATTTGCTACCTACCTAATGAGACATACAAAGTAAAGGTTTCAGCGAAGGGTATTCAACAGGGAAGTGGTCGAAACAATGGTGTTCTTAATCCTGATGGGTTTGAGACTGTCGTACGGGATCGCATCACGCTACAAGGTACAAACAAGGGGTTCAGACTATCGAAAGAAACCAAGTCTATCATCACCTATACTCAAACCAAAACAGCGCTTAACTACTATTATGACAAACGTCGAGTACTTGGTGATGGTATCACGACTGAACCACTTGATATTTAAGCAGCTAACCACTGGGGATTTTTTTAAATGTAAATATAGATCATGGACGCGCTATTAAAGAAACTCTACTATGACCCAAAAACCGGTTTTATTGGAGCTCAAGCTCTGTATCAGAAGGCAAAGGAGTTAAATCCTAAGATAACTTTCAAAATTGTAAAGGATTGGTATGTGAGTCAGACTGATATTCAACGATATCAAAAGCAAAATAAGAGATTCAATGGCTTCAAAATAGCTTCGCATAACCCCAACTCTTGGCAAATTGATCTTGCGTTTTGGGAAAAGCGACCAATTTTGACTGCTACCTATATCAACTCGAGGTTGG